GCCTATTCTCAGGTTCTTCCAGAGAGCCCTCCTCCTTCTCAGCGGGATGACCTTCCTGGCACCTCAGCGGCACTCTCTGGTGACTCTCAACTGACAAGGGCGGGTGCAAGCACCAGGGCAGAGCCAGTCCGGATTAGGTCCCAGTCACTTTTCGCAGCATCCGCTCCTCGGTTTGTTACTTTGTGGCATGATTTATATAGTGCTTCAGCATTGTTGCTTAAAGGAAACTGAGTGGCTGCTCATACATCTATCATGTCATAGTAGCCAACTGACTTCTCATACAGCTTATTTAAGTTTTCAGGTATATTATTAAAAGGCGGCGTGTCCTTTATAGTAACCTCGTGACCAGTGGGGGGGGGGATTGTATATTTGAACTAGTAACTTTGTCTTTGTGAGTCTTCACGGCTTTGCTGCACTTTTTGGCTTTATTGCACTGAAGTTGCACTGGTCTGGGTACAGCTGAGCACAGCACAAGTGTTGCTTGGTGCATTATTTTATGGCAATTCAAAGCAATCACTAACCAAAGCTAACCTAATACATTCAATAATTGATGTTGGCATGGTCATTTTAATCAGCCTGTTGTTGTTGTTTTTACAATTTATTTCCGAAGTGGGGCGTAGTCATTAGGGGCAAGCCTATTGAACCGAACGCAGTTGACTGCACACCATAAATATTGAATAAATAAACAACTAAACAAATAATAAATAAATGAATAAAATAAAATAAAATAAAGTCAATAATAGTAATAATAATGAAAATAATAATTTAATTATTTCATTGCAACATTGCAGCACAGTTTTTTTTTTTTTGAATGCATTAATTCATGGTAAGTGATTTGAGTTATTTGTTCATAAAGGCCGGGGTTTGTTTTAGTATCTTTCATGTCCCTTTTGGGGGAGAAAGATAATACAACTCTGTTCATTATTGAGTTGTTATGGATTTGAAGCAGCTGGGATAACTCAGTTAGTAGTGCATGAGGCTCTTAATCTCACGGTTGTGGGTCGCACCCCATATTGGGCAAAAGATTCCAGCCTTGCAGGGGGCTGGACTAGAGGACCCTTTTTTAAATACATAAATAATAAACAATTGATCCCAGCTTCATTTACCATCAGGGTTTAGTGGTTTGAATCTGATTTCTTTCCAAGTGTTGTCGGTTCAATATTACTGAACTAGGCCGGCTCGGCTATAGTGCCCTCTTGTAATAAAGGCTTAAGTTAAAAGGGAAAGGCACAGGCTGGCAGTTCTAAACAGTGCCTGGCCTGCTTGACCAATTTACACTGTTAAAGTTTAGCGTACAAGGGTTAATGTGCGGGCGATATAATGGCTTCCAAGAGAACCCATCAGGCACAATCTTCTGTTCCTCCCCAAGAACTCCTCAATACAAGGGGGTCCTGTGTGCAAGATGGGTCAGGGTAGCCTCCTGTGCCCTGCAAACCACAGGCCTAGTCAGTGTTTTCTCTGCGTTTGAAACCTTTTACCAACAATTCAGACTACTGAAGTCACTCAAGGCTGACCTAGAGATCGGGATTACATGTCTGAACCGCTACAATGGAGCATCCTTATGGCAGGAGGCCTTTAACTGGTCCTCAGATTTCCAGATTCTATCAGATGCAGCAGGGCCCCTGGGTTTTGGCTTGTACTTCAGGGGTCGGTGGTGCTCTCAACAGTGGCCAGCGGGGTGGCAGAGCAAAGCTATCACGCAGGATTTCACTTTTCTTGAGTTTTTTCCCATAGTAGTGGCCGTGCATATCTGGACGGAGGAGTTCCGGAATCGCTGGGTGTGTTTCAGATCTGATAACCAGGCGGTGGTGAACATACTGGCTAGGCAGTCATCTCGTTCTGAGAGGGTGTCGTCCCTGCTGCGGTCATGCCTCGCTTCCGGTTAGCGCCTGGAGCTCGACTGTTGCCCAAACCCTTTCCGGAGCACCTGGGGAACCTTGGAGATGCAAACTGATTAAGGGAGTATTGGCATCTGTCACACCCTCCACCCTCAGATCTTACACAAAAAAAAAAACTAAAAAAACTCTTCAAACTAAACAGGCAGGCTGGGAGCATTTCCATACAGTATGAGATGGTTATTAGAATTAATGCAATACCAGCACTACAAAACAGGTTGCAGAGGTGGGACAAAACTGGTTTTCTTCTCCTGAAAAGAGCGCAGTAAAAAAAAATTGCACAAGAAAAGCAGCTGTGCTCAGTTATTACGTGATGCACACAAATGTCTAAGTGAAGCTCATTCAAATTGCCAGACTATGTGGAATGACATGAAAATATGTCCCATTGAATTCAGTAGGGAGCATAGTCAGAATCAGGCTCTTGCCATGGCCAGAAATGAGTCGTAAGTGCTGAATAACTCTTAACAGGATTTTCTGCCTTTCACAGAGAGTAAATATGACTTCTTTCAGTGGCAAGCAGTCATATAAGCCTGTATTTAATTATACATTGGCTCCATAAAACATAAGCATTTATTCAACAGGAAGGCCGTAGAAAGCTGACTGTGTCTAGTTATCTTACAGCCAAAACACAACAGAAATCTGTGAGACAATGAAGCAATCCTTCATCATGTATAAAAGGACTTTTAAAAGCAAGCTCGTTCTACCATGTCGGAATGACATCAGGCTTTCAGATAATGAATAATAGTAATGATGAACATCAAGCTGCTTGTCTAAAAATAAAATTGAACTACAATTGGATATTGTCATGTTGACACAAATCATGCCTCTGATGCCCATCTGTAAAGAGTGTGGCACCGTGAACTTTTTGCAATAGGGCTGAATAATTACCCTGTGTTTCTCCAAAAGAAAGGAGCATTTGTTGATGATGCATGCTTTTGTTGCCTCCCATGAAAGATTGTGATGAATCACTGAATGGTGTGTAATGTAAGTATATGTCAACATACTCAGTATGCGTCTAGTCTTACCACCTACCTCCTCCATTGTTTGAATGCTGTAAGCATAAGAAAGCCATTGTCCATTTCTTGCAGTGTTCACCATTGTCCAGTCTTCAGGGAAACAGCCAGTGGGTCACCTCAGAAGTAATAAAAAAAAATGAACAGTGGGAGGGGGGGTAGTTAGTGACTACACAGTCTTTTTTGATGAAAAAAGGGGGAGGAGATGTTATGGGGAAAACTGAAAATCCTTTCTAATTCCTGCTGTACACCCCGTAACTAGAACAGCTATACAATACTGATGTTTCAAACCATTCGAAATGAAAGCAGCCCAAGCAAAATGATTATTGTTGTAAATGATCATACAAAGGGAAGCTGAAGTTTTGAGACTAAAGGTAGAAAAAAGACCGCTCAAAATTTTCAGTGATATTTATGCTTTTCATCCCACTTGCGCTAGTGGAGGCCTTGTAAAGCAAACAACAGCTTCAGAAAGGCTTGTCAGAACTATAGCACAGGGAGAGCTAAATTCTCCCTCCCTACCTGCCATGGTCCCAATACAGTGGTACCTTGGGTTACATACGCTTCAGGTTACATACACTTCAGGTTACAGACTCTGCTAACCCAGAAATATTACCTTGGGTTAAGAACTTTGCTTCAGGATGAGAACAGAACTCGTGCTCCGGCGGCGCAGCCGCTGGAGGCCCCATTAGCTAAAGTGCTGCTTCAGGTTAAGAACAGTTTCAGGTTAAGGACGGACCTCCAGAACAAATTAAGTTCTTAACCCGAGGTACCACTGTACTTCTCTCTGGCTGATATTTGCATAACAAAAAAAAATGTTATACTGATTGCAAATACGTTGATTGTATTGTGGCCCTCTGGATGATTGTATTGTAGAGTTGAGAGGGACTCTAAGGGTCAGTGTTGAACTCCAACTCCCATCAGCACCAACATCGGCCTATATTGTCTGGGAACTATAGTCTAACAATGTCTGAAGCAGCAGTAGTTCCCCACCCTGTCCCAAGGAAAATACCCAGAAGTCTTTCTTTGCAACCCTATCTTCAATTCCTCTGCCTCCAGCTTAAGGAGGGAAGTCTTGGCAAATGAAAGAACAAAAAAAACCAGAGGACTACTGTGGTCCCATCAGTAGCCTTCCAGCACTCTGATAGTCAGCCTGCCTCTACTACTACCCTTCCTCCCAAACAGATTTTTTGTTTATGTGGTGCATCCTGCAGCAGTACAGGAGCCTCGAGGCTTTAGGGTCCAGAATCCCTACTTGGGGGAAACAAGTAAAAATCAACATCTGTGGCAGTTTTTCCATAAGTCTTTGACCTTAAGATGGTGGTTCAGTAAGCTGTGTGCCCTGTAAAAAGGACCAAAAGGAAGTACATATAGTGTATGTTTAGACTCCAGAATTTGTTTTTATGTGATGGCCAGCAACTTGAACGGCTTTAAAAGAATGGGGAATAAGGTTGCTAATGCCTACTAGTAGTGATGGTTGTATTACCTCCAGGATCCAAGGTGGTATGTCTCTGAATACCAGTTGCTGGGGAACGCAAGCAGGAAGAGTGCTCTTCCGCTCCCATAGGAATCTGGTTGTCTGTTATGGGACCAGGATACTGGACCGGATAGGTTTTTGTTATGATCCAGTAGGGTCCTTATTCTGTTCTTATGAGCCACATCTATAGCTAGCCTTATCCCTGGGGGTTTTCACTGAACATTCATTGTGTCATATTCCAGCTCCTAGCCGATGCAATTACTGACTTCAGGAAAGTGGGGAAAGGAAGTGGTTGAAAAATGACAGCCCCCTGCACAACCTAACATCAGAGAAGCTGCAAGTGAAAGATGCTGTAAAGTGAAAGATTGACGTTGGAGAGGGAAGGAGATTTCACTCAGCCACATGTGCGTTCCAGGACCTCAAATGCCCAGGGTCTCATTTATGAGCTCTTCAATAACGTCCCACCTTCCATTCGGTAACTCTGTGCTGTTTGATATGGGCTGATATGAAATTGCAAGAACGTGGCTTCCAGTGGGGAAACAGGCCAATGAAATAAGGAAGCCCCCAGCACCTTTCATTTGAAGACCGAACTGTAGAAAATCATTAAAACGATAGCCAACATTTTATTTTATGTTTTAGGGGGCGACTGAGAAAACAAACTTAAAGTCGGAAAGAATGGCTATCAGGGACGGCGGCAGTGGGAATGGAATGAATGAAGAGGTGGGATCCAGTGGAGAATGTGATGATGAGGACGGATGTCAAGGATCTGGTGAGAGAAGCCTCACGAAAGGTAGGTCCAATAGTTTTGCATAGATTCACTAAGCTGTACATCCAGGTACTACACTAACCCTTGGATAGGTAACCTGTAGCCTTCCAGATGTTGCTAAGACTCCAACATGACTAATGGGTGGGTGGTGTAGTGCAGCAACATCTGGAGAGCCACAGGCTCCCCATTTCTGCGCAAAACAATGATTTGATGCTATGGGAACGAACCTAGTCTCCTCCTGCCACCACTACTGTCCCATCTTCTTATGTGGCATTCAAAAACATTTTCCTTCCCATTTCAGCAGCTTCTTGTGTTGTGTGGGCCCGCTCTTGTTGCTTAACATTAGCTGTGAGAATCAAAACAAGCCAGCTTCAAACCACGGGCTGTGAATCGGGCGTGCTGGAACTAGTTTGGGCACGGCAGGAAGGCATGACGCTTCCAAACTGCTTCTTTCAGCCGCACTCAAAAAGGGACAGGCGAATGGTGAGCACGCATGCCCAGGAGGAAGCCAGGCTCATTCACGTAGCACTAAGCCATGGTTCAGCGTGAAGTCTAACCACAACCACTGTGACTTAAGCCTTTCTTGGATAGTACTCTGGCTCCACAAATTTTAAAATAACAACTGCTAGTTCTTTTGACATGGACATAGTCGAAATAAGGAAGCATAGCACTTGAACCAAAGTTTTGCCATTTGATTATGGTATTTTACTGAAGGTGTATTGCCCGTCTGCTCATCCACAGTTCATTGTCTTCTCTGGTGTTTCTGTAAAGGAATGGTGACTTGTTTGCGGGGCAGGGCATGTGTTATGGATAATGCTGATGGAGTAAACGTCTAAGCCTAAGGCAGTGTGCTGCTTTATAGGATAGGAGCTATGTTTCATCCGTGATTATAGGTTCTTCGCCTTAGGCCATACTGCAGTGGTGACTTCTAATTTAAAGCCATTATTTCTACGTTAATGTGCATTCTAGAAAACCCTGTGCAATGTTTTCCTTCCTGTGTTTTCCAGCCTGGATTTTAGACTTGTTAAGTGCTTTAAGTAACATGTTTTCTCTTCAAAGCGGTGCAAATTAAACAGCAGCCAGGTGCTACTAAGTATTTTTTAATTGACTATTAGACTATTTAAATGCTATAGCTGTGCCAGAATCTACCAAGGCTCTATTGTCTCTCAGACACTCAGTAATGTAAAATGAAAAGCATTGAAATCTTGTTCAATAGTTGGCTCATCTACACAATATGTGAAATCTGCATTCCTCCCTCCCCCTGATATTGCCACAGATGGAAGTGAGAAAGAGAAAAAATGTTTTTTCATAACTAGTGATGAAATTATTTGGTAGAAACCATATATTCCAAAAATATAGTTCATATAAAGTGTTGCACATGCTTTATATGTATAGCATTAACAGCAGCAATTCCACCTTGAAAAAATTATAATGGTATTTTGTAATTAACTCTAAAGTAGTGTTATGTGTTTAGGCCGCTAGCTGTAAATCTGTTTTGCATATTCCGATGCAATTAAGAGAGAGAGTGGGAGTCATCTAATTAAAGGGCTCCTTTGCTTTTACAGTAGTATGATTTTTCAGAATCCTAGTAATTTCAATCCATTGTCAGTTTTGTATAATGCCGTAAACCTTGGTCTATTTAAATTGGTACCATAGTGTGGATGTGTGTATTTCACAGCTTGAGACATACCCAGAATAATTGTTCCATTTATATTGTTAGCACCAGTTTGAGCTTTCTGTCTGCCCTCTCTTAGCAGCCACCCTAATCTAATGCAGAATTTGGTGCGACAGTGCTAGCACATAGAATGTTTGTTCGCGATTGGCCACCCCCAAATTGCCATGGCCATCTGAATAGGGTTAACTGGAAAGGAAGGTCAATTGTTTACAAAGATGTGGGGGATGGAATCAAATTGCTTGGATTTGTTTTGGAGGGGGCATTTATTTTAGTTGCAGGGAATGAAAAGCTTTTGCAGTCATGCGCCTTTGAGGGTGATAGAGGGCTTCCTCTCCTCTCTCTGCTGGTTCCAGCTTCTCCTGGTTCTTTAAGCAAATGTCATGGCTCCAGATACTGGAAGTGGAGGAAAGCACCTGCACCACAGTGCAAAAGCTCCAATCACTGTGACTTTAAGAGTTGAAGGGAACGTGGTGGGGGAGGGGAGAAGTTACCTGCCCCCCTCACAAGCAGTGGCAGGGCAAAGATAAAAAGAGGAGGACTTGTCACCATTTCTGTCCCTAAGGTAAGCAGTCTCACCTGATTTGGCAAGATGGTGTGCCCTCCACTTCCAAAATTCCCCTCATTTGGGGGGTGGGATGGGGACAGGGAAAATAGTGCCCAGAAGTTGAGGGGAAGAGGAAATGGAGAACGATTCATTACGTGCATATGCAATGTTCAGTTAGCAGAAAGTGATAATTCCTCGAGTATCTTACAATTAAGCTTCTCCAAGCAATTCAATGTGATAGGAGACACTTCCCCTTAAATAATAGCCAGTATTTAAAGAAGCGTGTGCTAAAGCATTAAGAGGATGAATTCCTTTCATCGTTTGGATCCTGTGTAGCTTTCTCTACAGTGGATAAAATATTTAGTAGTCAATGAGCAAATGTTCCAAGCATATTATAGAAAGAAATGAGTACTGCATTGCGTTCAACGGAACACATTGAATGACAATAGATGTACCTCCTTTTGGGTAGCTGGAATTTATTTTTTACCATCTCTTTTATGCTTCTACTACTTAGCTGCCCTCGTTGGTCTACATGGTGACACCACCATGGATTGACAAGTTTTCAGAGTACAGTGGTACCTCGGGTTACATACGCTTCAGGTTACATACGCTTCAGGTTACACACTCCGCTAACCCAGAAATAGTGCTTCAGGTTAAGAACCTTGCTTCAGGATAAGAACTGAAATTGGGCTCCGGCGGCGCGGCAGCAGCAGGAGGCCCCATTAGCTAAAGTGGTGCTTCAGGTTAAGAACAGTTTCAGGTTAAGAACGGACCTCCGGAACGAATTAAGTACTTAACCCGAGGTACCACTGTAAAGGAAAGGGATGAATACAGGGCAAAAAGTCCAGCGTTGCCAGTGGCGTAGCGGGGAACAGCCTGGGGCGGAGAGAGGAGAGTCGTGGGAATGCCGCTGCCTGCCCTTCTCAGTTGTGGTGCACCGGCCATGGCAGCGCTGCAAGCCTGTCCCAGGCAGAGCTAGCCTACAGTTTGCGCCTGATTTTATGGTGGGATGAGCAAGAGAGAAAGTGAGCTGCCGGAGATGTTTTCAGACCTTAAAGACGCGCAAGCAAAACTGTAAAATAATAAGCAAACCCAGGCAGATATACTCTGTAATGGAATTAGTTTGGTATGGAAAGCACAACCTATGCAGATTCTCACAGTCCTGGCCAATGTCATCATGGAGTTGGGCTGGACTGGGCAGTTGCCAGAGCTCAGGTGTCTTGAATAGCCACCATTTATTACTGCAGTCTTCATCTTCCTTGATTTTACACACATCCAGGAGAGTCTCTGACCTCCTATTCACCATAGTGACAGGAATCTTTTGTGTGAACCACAACCAGAAACTTCATAAACATTTGAAATGAGAGGAGAGAAGTGCAACCTGGAAGAAATAGCCATTTTCCTTGAAACCCAGCATCCTAATGTTTTAAGGCTAGCTGCAGTAACACAATGGTAATGGAAAGCACTAGGTACATTCTCGAGGGCATTGTTTTCATGTTCACATCTCCAGGGTCAAAGTGGGACCAGCAAGGTTGATTCACTGACAGCCTCTTAATCAGTGGCCCACAAATCCAGTTTTACCATCAAACTGGTTCCAAAATTAATGGACAGGTCAGCAAATGTTCATGCTTCTGGCAAACTCCACCTACTGAGCATTTTTCTAAAAACCACGAAACTTCAATGTATTATTAACTGCTTTCCTTAAACTCTTCCATTAAAAGTTGGGTTTTTTTAAAGAAATAATCCAGTGTTTTGTTTAGTATAATTGCAAATAAGCATTTTTATAGCAAAAGCTATTATTAGCTCTTAAAAAACCCATTTAAATATTTAAGCACAATGTATTTAATTACATCTACAGACCCACATGAGCGTATTCAATACGAATCCACCTAGCAGAGCTAAACACATTCTCAAGTATTCCACAATTTTTCAGGCTTTCTAGGCAGTAAATAGCTATTTAAATGTTTGGTAATAGTCCTGCTGAGCCAAATCTGGGGCCCCGTTTCCTGGATATTTTCGCTCTCTGTGAAATGTGCCTCTTTTCACCACCTGAGATAAAGCGGCGGAACTGCTGCCGCTGTCACTCCATTCTGCCATCCTGAGTCCCATCACTTTTCCACCAGCTACTTAAGTGTGTTTTCCTTCATGGAGAGCACGTGTTGCGGTGGGGTCTAACAAGACATCCCACTTTTGCTTGGCGGGTAAAGATAGTAGGCCACCATTGCGATTGGGCTTCTCTTGTCATTGGGGAGAATTTGATGTTGCCATTTTGTGATTGACAGCCTATTAGCTTTATATTCCCTGCGCGCAGCGTTGAGCTTCCTCTTTTCGCTGCGCGCATCGGATCACCCACCCTCCCTATATTTAGGGTTGTTCGCATTGACCTTGCTATGCCTGTCATGGGGTCATCTGCTTTTGGGGCAGGGACTTGGTAGGAATTTTGACCATTTGGCTGATTGGCTGGAGCCATTTGGTTTTTGCCTACTGCGTAGCAAATCGTCACAACTTGTAAGGTTGCAGTTAGGCATTGGTTTTATGAATTGGTTGGTGGAGGGGCATGGATTGGCTGTGCCTGCCCCTCCAATGCTGCTGCTGCAAAGGTATTCCATTAAAGGAATCCAGGGGCTTGCCATGCTTTTGTCCGAACCCCTATCAAGGGGCTGGAGCCACGCAAGAGCCCCTGGGAGAGGTGAGGGCATGGTTCCCAGCTCCATCTTTCTCCCCAAAATGTTTTCCCTATCTGACTATCTTGGACGTGCAAATGTAAGTCTGTCCCCTTGCGGGGTCAGATAGTCGCAACCAATG